ATGTACATAGTTACCATTCAATAAAAAAAAAAAAAAGATCAGCAGCACCTTAATAAATGTTAACTGCTTCCCCCATATACATATTTCCAAGACAACATTATAACTAACATCTCTGTAAAAGATTGGCTACTTACAGGAACATGCTGAGTTGAAGAACAAGAATCCACTGACCGAGGAGATGAGACTGAACAACTTGAGGCAGCTGGCGAAAGTGGCTGAGGTTCTGTCTTAATATCTTTAACTAAAAAACATGAAATAAAGGTTTTTCACACTGAATAGAACAGTACAAACTACGAAAACAATGAACAAGAAAGAAGGTAAAATCTACTCAAATTCAGTAAGATATGGAAACTAATGTCCTCAAAATAAAAAATTAAATGAAAATAAAGATGTGGAAAACATCATATCCAGTATGCTTCCATTTGTGCAATAAATTATGCGTGTGTGTATATATCTACTTGCATCTGTACTAATTTTCTGAAAGGCTAAACAGAAGAAATCAGTAACAGTGGCTTTGGGAAGAAGTTGTTGGCTGGCTGAGGAGTAAGAGCAGAAAGAGGCGCTGTTCTACTATAAATACTTTTGTACCTTTTGAATATTACACTATATGCAAAAAAAAATAGATTCTTAAACATCAATTTCTTAAAATATAAGAAACAGGAAAGAATTATTTTGGAAAGCATTTCGACAATACAATTAAAACTCATGAAAACATTCATATCTTTTGCACTACTAACTTATGCTATAAAAACTTATTGAGTGACTATGGACCAGGCAGTGTTACTTGGTATCAAAGATGTAACAGGGTGAGAGTGGCAGACTATTTTCCAAAATTAGCCACAACATATCTACCATCCCTTATGATCTCCCATAATGTGATCTTGCCACTTCCCCATTAAGTGGTAGAGTCTATTTCCCCATCCCTTAAATTCAGGTGTGTTTATGACTCCTTCGATCAATAGAGAATGGAAGTTATGCTGTGTGAATTTTCAGAACAAAATGCAGCCTCTGCTTGGTGTGTTGCAACACTCCCACATGGAGCCTCTGAAGTCTGACTACCCTGATTCCACCATCATTTGTGGCCCGCTGCAGGCACTTCTAGTCTTTAAGTCATCCCAGCCCAGGTACCAGAGGTGTGAGTGACAAAACTTTAAGTTGAGGTCTGAACATCATAGAAGAGAGACAAGCCATCCCTGAGTCACCCAGTCCAAATTCTTGACCCACAGATTCAAGGAATTTATTAAATTTGTTGTTGTTTAAGCTAGTAAGATTTAAATATTTTCTTACACAATAGTAACCAGAACATTGACCTTGTGTATCCCGTATTCTATGAAGGAAGACAGGCACTGAGCAAGGTAAATAAATAAATAAACTAAAGGGAAATACAAAGGAGTAGAGAGGAATTCACATAGAGGGATGTACTGGCTACTTTTCCATTGTCTCTCACTCCAAGTCCACCTTCTGTAGTTTATAACGCAAATTGTTAACACATTTCCCAGCTGGTTTCCTTTCAGATCCTGTCAGTAAGAGATACGAAAAAGATGCTAGAGGACAGAAGGAACTTTCTTCATTCTCCCATCACCCTTATCCTTAAGTGGCAATTTCTCCAGGGCCCAGATTCTTTCAGTATATCCAAACCCCACCTCATCAGGTCCCCTGAAAGATGTGAGCATTAGCCAGGCATTACCTCTCCTCAGAAGAATGTGCAACAAATGCATAGTTCTACAAAGGTCCAGTTCTGGTGACCCCAGCTTTTTCCCTGTGATTCCATAAGCCCTGTCTGGTGCCCAGATAAATTAACCTCAATATTTCTCTTTTTTTTTTTGAGACAGAGTCTCACTATGTTACCCTCAGTAGAGCACCATGGCAGCACAGCTCGCAGCAACCTCAAACTCTTGGGCTTAAGTGATTCTCCCAAAGCTGAGACTACAGGCACCTGCCACAACACTCGGCTATTTTTTTGTTGTTGTTGTCATTGTTGCTTAGCAGGCCTACGTCGGGTTTGACCAGCCCCAGAGCACGTGGCTGACACCATAACCACTGAGCTATGGGCACCAAGCCAATATTTCTATTTCTGATATGAAATTATTTATTCATTTATTATGCTACTGAAACACAAGAATAAAATTCTTTATATCCATTTTTGGCAAGAAATTTATTTCTGAGGCCAGGCACAGTGGCTCACACCTATAATCCTAACACTCTGGGAAGCTGAGGCAGATGGACTGCTTGAGCTCAGGAGTTCAAGACCACCCTGAGCAAGAGCAAGAACCTGTCTCTAAAATTACATGGGCACTGTGGCAGGTGCCTATAGGCCCAGTTATTTCAGAGGTTGAGGCAAGAGAATCACTTGAGCCCAAGAATATGAGGTTACCATGAGCTATGATGCCACAGCATTCTACCCAGGGTGACAAAGTGAGACTGTCTCAAAAAAAAAAAGAAAAGAAAAAGAAATTTGTTTCTGCATTGCCATGCCAAAAGTATAATATATAGTCTCTGGAATCTTTTAACCCACCAATATAGTTCAATAACCCCAGTTAATTGTGAGTAGCACCAAACTACAAAATAAAATGAATCTGTTTAAAGCTTTTATCAATGAAACACATTATTACCAGTACAGAATTGGTTGCTGATGTCCCAAATGTCTGACTCCCAAGGCATCAAATCCAAATCAAAATCAAGATGATCAAAATTGTTTTCCTGCAGGTTTCAAGTCAGCAAAAGAATATTAAAATAGTAAAATATACACATCTTAAAATCAAACTATCAAACACTGTATTTGTCATAAATAATATAATTTACCCAACTTAGTAAAAAATTTTCAAAGTCAATACACCTTCAATAGCCTAGAGATAAATCAATTTAGTTATCTGAATCACAGCAGTAAAACTAGGAAGTTGGCAATGAATTCAGTATCTAAAAGATTCAGTTGGCTTCATTCTTTTCTATAGGAAGAGACCTTATATAGGAGTCACACAAAATGTGTCCCTTATCATAAAGGAAATTCAGAAAAATAAATTTCCCATTGCTATTAAAGAAAACAAGTCAAAGCAAATGGCAATTCACAATATCATCTCCATGTAACAATGGAAAGAATTTAGATATATCCATCCACAAGACATGCAGGAATTTGACCAGGGACCGGGGAGCACACCTGTAATCCTAGTACTCAGGGAGGCCGAGAGGGGCAGATCCCTTAGCTCAGGAGTTTGAGACCAGCCTGAGCAAGAGTGAGAACCTGTCTCTACTAAAAATAGAAAAATAAGCTGAGTGTTGTGGTAGGTGCCTATAGTCCCAGCTTCTCAGGAGGCTGAGGGAACAGGATCACTTGAACCCAGGA